AAAAGTGAAGTACAATTAAGAAAACAAAGGTAAATGCTGGATGGATTGTTGCTTTACTATTATTTCCCACACTGCAGCTCTAAGCTCCACAGTTTTGTTTTTTTCTTTCTTTTTTTTTTTTGAGACAGAGTTGCACTTCATTGCACCAACCTCAAACTCTTTAGAGGCTCAAGCAATCCTCTTGCCTGTGCCTCCCAAGTAGCTGGGCTACAGGTGCCTGCCATAATGCCTGGTTATTGTTTAGAAACGATTTCACTCTTGCTCAGGCTGGTCTTTGACGCCTGAGCTCAAGCAATCCACCCACCTTGGCCTCCAAAGTGCTAGAATCACAAGACCACAGGCATAAGCCACCACACCAGGCCCAAGTTCCACATGTAGTTGGCCAAGTCACATATTCATTTTTAAAACATTTATGGGCAAGGATGAAAAAAAAAGTATCTGGGGTGGTGCCTGCGGCTCAAAGGAGGAGGGCATCGGTCCCATATGCTGGAGGTGGCGGGTTCAAACCCAGCCCTGGCCAAAAACTCTAAAAAAAAGAAAAAAATAGAGAAAAAAAAGTGTCTGGCCTTACTCAATATATATCCATAATAAAAGATGAACACAAATCACATTCTAGCACCTTTTGTAATTGCAGAAGTTAAATGTGACTTGACTATAACAATTTAAATACAGATTTATCCTTTCTTAGTATGTATATACATTTTTTTGGCACCCTCTGTAGTTTGGATAGGAACTCAGTTCAACACAAATCCCATACTCTTAACTTGGAACCCTAAAGTAGAGCAAGCTACTTAATATCTCCAGGTCTCATTGTGTTCTGGCTATCTATTGACACATAACAGATCACTCTAAAACGTATTGGCTTAAAACAATAATCAGTTTATTGTTATCCCTCACAGTGCCAGGCTTTAACTGGGGTTAGCAAGGCAGTTCTTACTCATTTCTCAGTCAGATGGGCTGGAGTCATCTCGAAGCCTTCCTCACTTATATGTCTGATAGTTAATACTGCTGTCAGCTGAACATGTATGCATGGCCTCTCCAAGTGGCCTGGACTGCTTCAAAGCATGATGGCTGGGTCCCAAGAAATAAGAAGTAGAAGCTGCTAGTTCTTCAGTCCTAGACAGGGTGGCATAGCACCACCACCACATGCTATTGATCAGAGTTCAGATAAAGGAATCATGCTTTAAAACCTTCCTATCTATGAACTGTACAACAGGCATAACCATACAATCAACTCCTGTTGTTTTTGTCAGTCAAGCCTTATCTTACTTTTGGGGATTCTCTCCTCTCCCCTTCTACCCTCACAGGCACTACAGCCATGCTATACTACCATTTAGAATCTGCTGGGGAACCTGATGGCAGCTTTTGAATTCAAATCTCCCTGCGTCTAAACAGCTACTCCCAACCCCCATCCAGAGTTAACAATTTTCGAGCCAGTAAACTTCCTCCTGCTGAAGCAGGTTTAAGTTTCTGTAACTTGAAATGGAAATCCTCACTATTATCTACTAAGGGTGGTTGTGGAAATTACGTGTCAAATGTGCCTTTGGCAGCAGGTGTTCAGAAAGTGCTTATGTTATTAAGAAGAATTTGGCAGGCCATGCCTGTGGCTCAGTGGGTAAGGCGCCAGCCACATATACTGAGGGTGGAGGGTTCAAACCTGGCCCCGGCTGAACTGCAACAACAAAATAGCCGGGCGTTGTGGTGAGCGCCTGCAGTCCCAGCTACTCGGGAGGCTGAGGCAAAATAATCACCTAAGCCCAGGAGTTGGAGGTTGCTGTGAGCTGTGTACGCTACAGCACTCTACTGAGGGTGATAAAGTAAGATTGTCTCTACAAAAAAAAAGAAAAGAAGAAGAAGAAGAATCTGGCTACAGGTAGGAGGATTCTGATTTGCCAAATGCCCCAGCCAATCGATCCAACTGGGATTCAAACCCAGATGTCTGGCTCAGACTCTTTTGCCCTGCTTTGCCTTCTTTATTTCGGTGGTCCTGTCTGACAGGCCCATGGCATATAATGGCCTCCTTATGGGACAGGATGTGAGCACATGGGTCATCCTGTCCAGGTTTTAGGAAATAGCCTGACACATACCCACCCACATTTAAATTCCTTGCCCATAAGAGACATTACCAACTGTCATGTATTTCTAAGTAGCCTAAAAATTGTTCCAAATCCTCAACAAAGTCTCCAGGAGGCCACTACTAATGTTCTGTGTTTCCAAGTGAAATGAGGCCTAAAGTAGATTAAAAACAATTTATGGGTGTATTTGGAAGCTCCTCCTATTAAGAATTACTTGGACTATCCTCATGACTTGTGTTGGCCAATGGAACCTTACAAATAAGACACAAGCAGGATTTTGAAAAAGCACTTGTGTACTGGGGATAGTCCTCTCTTGCTGTTGTTAGAACCCAACTGTGATGTGAACAACCTAGGTCAAACTGCTAGGTGCTGAGAACATGCAGCCCAGTTGTCTGGCCAACCACTTGACATGTGGCTAAGGCTCTCTGAGACCAAGTAGCCTTCAGCTCACTTCAGATACTGGAGAACCCAGATGAGGAAAGAACCACCAAGCCTGAGCACAGCCCAAACTGCCAAGTCACAGAATCTAGAACTAATAAATGCTTATTAAAACTACTAAATTTGGAGTTGGTTTATTATACAATAGTCAGTAACTGATACAGGGCCTACTTACTATCCCTGATCTAGATCAGCCTCTCATTTTACAGCTGAGGAAACTGAGATCTAACAAGCAAAGACTTGCCTAGAGTCACCAACCTGGCTGGCAGCAATAAAAGAGAAAGCACCAGACCTCTGAGCTTAAAATCTGGATATCTCAGTATGAAAGCTTCACCTTCTTCCATGAGGCTCTTCACAAACCCCAACCTGCCCCGTTGCTCCTGCCCAGGGTCCCTTGGCAGACAGACATAAGGGAATGGTAAGCCTACTGGGCAGCTAATACTAAGGAGCAGAAATATTGCTCCAAATTGCACCAAAGCAATGGCCAACTAACGATTGGGGCCTGTGGCTCAGGTCTGAGGCCAGAACTCTGGCTGCCTTGGGGTTGACATAGTCAGGCCCGTACAGAACTTAGGAAAACCTAAGCCTAGCACCACTCTGGGGCTTTACACTGCTGGCCTGCCAATGATAGTAGGCAAGAGGTCTGCCCAGAGAGAGGACAAGAGACAACAAAGACTCCCCCGGAGAGCCAAGAACGCCAACCTCCACCTAAAACCTGGAACTGAAGCCCAGGAAGAAACTCTGGTGAAGGCTTTGCTACAGAACTGGTGGCTTGAAACTGGGAATTTTCAATAAGAAATCCAGCAGGGAAAGCTATAACCCAATTATAGCCCAAGAAGAAGGGGTAAGGGGAGAGGGAGGGAAGGGGGGGAGGATGGGTAGAGGGAGAGTAATTGGTGGGACCACACCTATGGTGCATCTTACAAGGGTACATGTGAAATTTACTAGGTGTAGAATATAAAT